CATACTAGGTAAATAGGACTTCTGGGAAAATGTCAAAAAGGATTAGTAAGAGAGGACATCCATACCTTATTCCGAAAGTATGTTAGCAGCAGGGTTTTGGTGGATTTTTAAATTTAGATTAAGGAGGTTTCCTTCCACTTGAAGTTTTTTGAGTTTTTATTATAAATTAGAGTTAAATTTCATACATTTCTTATTCTGTGTTTGATCTTTAAATCAAGACAAGTTATTTAAAATGTCTATAGCTCTTATTTTTTACATAATTAAATAAAATTAATCTTTATTTTTCATGAAAGCAAAAAAACTAAAATATATATTTAGTGTTTAAGCACATAACAACATTAGATTAATATTTCATTTCATCATGAAATTAATAGAAAAGTAATTAAAGGTAATTTATTATGTTATTTAAAAGATATACTGCTTAACTTTTTTTTCCAATTATGTATTATACAAAACCATGAAAGATATTTCATAACTTAAGGAATAAAGTTCTTAATCTTTTACTGTAAATGTGATTTAAGAATATAGCAAAGACAATTATTTGATCATTCTATCAGTTTGAAAGTATTTAGCTTATGTAGGGAACCTAATTTTTAAATGATACTTTGCCTGATGTTGGGAAATTCATGACAAAAAAGTGTAGTATGGGGCTGGGGATGTTGCTCAAGCAGTAATGCACTTGCCTGGCATGCGCGGGGTGCTGGGTTCGATCCTCAGCACACATAAAAAATAAAATAAAATAAGACATTGTGTCCACCGAAAACTAAAAAATAAATATTAAAAAAAATTCTCTCTCTCTCTCTCTCTCTCTCAAAAAAAAAAATAATGTAGTATGTCAAGACTATGGTTCCTAATATTCCTAATCATAATATTTAAGAATATGGTTTCCTAATATTTTAAAGAGTCATATGATGGTAAACCTTTATTTTAAATTTTATTTAAAACATTAAGTTTCAGTATATGCTGGGTCAAGAACAGTATACAAAATAACCAGTGCCAGAGCCATGGAGGATCCTCCTGCTTAGCTTGCTGTGGTGAATGGGCCAAAGGTTAAACCATCAGTCCATTTCCCAGTGTCTACTCAACAGTGGCTTTCTTTGTATTTCTTCATTTGTTAAAGCAATACAGCAAGAGTTATTGAGAGGTAAAACAAAGCAAGTCTCACATCAGACACTGATGGCTTTTTAAAAAGTTGGAATGGGATGTCACTGAATATTCTAAAGGGCATATTGATAGAACTACATCTTTATGGAAGTCACTGCTCCAGAATGAACTATAGTAGAAATCAACATTATGCATCAGTGATACTCCTGTCAATATAAATAAACGTATGTCTAGTGAACAAATTTCAGAGAGTAATGCTATAGGCTGGGGAGTGAATTTTATTTTTTATTGTAAGCCATAGTTTATTTTCCTTAGCAAATTAATTAGGGTAGATAATTTTCTATATAAACAAACCTTTCATTCATCAGATGTAACTTTAAGCATGATGTAAGAGAGAAACTAGTTAATTTAAGTGTAGAATGCTACTAGAGGCATTAAATATGGTTTAGGTCCTTTCCTGTAGTGGCCCCAGTGTATTTCTTAGCTTCCATGCAGATTAGGTTTTGAACAGCTGCGCAGAGCACACAGAAATTGTGATTCCTGTCTCTGTGAACTAACTTGAATAAAGTCTTTCATCTAGAGATCGCACTGTTTTGTCTGATTCATGAATCCCTCATCTCATCTTTGAAGGGCCCATTCAGTTTAATACAGTTCAACTTTGTGGTTTAGAGTTCTAGAAACATGTTGTAATTTATAATGCACAAAAAATTTTAACATAATTTCATGCTTTTTTGAAAATTAGATAAAATCCACTTTAAAATTATGTCTTTTGTAAAGACTTTTTGATAACTTGCAATTCTAGCTTAAACTTAACTAGGYGTCATCTTTATGACTTTAAGAATCTTAGCAAATGTCCTATTTTTCTGTATTTATAACAAGGTAAAAGAAATGTATGTGTGAAAGGACTTGGTAATTTAGTTCACTTGTTCTGTATGGAGAGTACTGTCACTCTGCACAGTGTTCTGGTCCTGCTCATGAGTGAGAAGAGGTCCATGTCACATCTATGTTCTGTGTGAAGTGTTCTGCAAATACTTAAAGAGCCATTTGATCGTTGTTCAAGACCTAATCTGCTAAACAATTTGTTAGCAGCAATCAAACAGAATATGTAACTTATATGTAATTTGTAAAGAAAATGCCACCTGATCTTTTCCTTATTTGGGTACTTTACCACATTGTACCACTTATGTGGTAGTAACCAAGCCTAACATTTTATTTTGTATACTTCTTATTCCTCTCTAACAGATGAGTTCTTGTAATTCAGGGAGCTTTACTTATTTCAGCTTTCATAAAAATTAACATGTGATACCTTCTCAGCATACGTGTGGAACATATGTGTGGATATTCCATTTCAATAGTGAGAATGGTCAAATTTGATTATACTTTTATTGATCAATTTATTTATTATATTAAGGCACCTACTCATAATTTCAAAAATCTAGTACAGCATGTTTTTTCCTTTGAGTATACAGAAATTAGGAATCAGAGAAGGTTTTTTTTGTTGTTGTTTTTTGTTCTGGCAGTACAGGGGATTTCACCCAGGGGTACAAAACTACTGAGCTACATCCTCAGTCATTTTTATTTTTTATTTTGAGACAGGGTCTCATTAAGTTGCTACAGCTGGTCTTGAACTTGCAATCCTGGAATTACAGACAGGCACCACTGTATCCAGCAGGAACCAGAGAAGTTTTAATCAAGTATTTCTAACTCAGAATGTCAAAAATGCAAAAGGAGATTACTGTCATACATTAGAAACAGTAATGTAGGAGGCATTAATTTATACAATCAGTGAATGTTATTAGTAATTAAATGCTAGTCTCTGTACTATAACCTACGGCTATAGTGATTTAAATAAATAAGAGAGAAAATCTTTACCCGATGGAGCTTGTAATCAACCAGACAACTATAATTTAATCAGATAGTAACCATCTATAAGAATTATGAATGAGTAGTGTTGTATGAGAGAAAATAACTGGATAGAGGGTGAACTACTTTATGTAGAGTGGTTAGAAAAGTCATTTTAGAGAAAGACACAAAAACCTGAAGTATGAAAGTGTGCCTGGATTGTGTGCTCTAAATATGGTTTCTTACTGAAAGGAGTCAGGTATCACAGAGAGAAGCAGGTCTGTGAAAGGATCTGTTAGAGAAAACAAAGAAGCAAACAAATTCTTGGGGTACAATATAGAAGCCAACTTGAAAGGCACAATTTGAGGACAATTTGAGCATCTAAAGAAAAATGACTGCAATTAATTGGAACATATCATTGTTTAAAATACATGAGTTTACATGAGTTTAAAATGTTACTTTTAAAATTCATTACTCATCTGTGGAACAAAATTGAACAATCAAATATTTATCCCATCTTTTTTCTTAAAAACTGCACCTCAAAGCAATAAAATAGTTCAGGGATGGATATTCTTTGTAGGATTATAGCTAATAAATGCAGGAAGAATGATAAATTGTTACGCTGGATTGAAATGAAATTAAATACCTATGCAATGAAACTTTTCACATTTTACTGTATGTACTTTTGAGTGTTTTGTGTTAGGAAATATATGTATCAGTTTAAAAAGCAGTGATACAGAGTTCAAGTTCAGCAAGTAGGAATGGGAGTGATGAGAAGATATTTCATGCCATGGGAATTGTAGGAATAAGGTACAGAAGTGACAAAATACTGCATATATTCAGGGAAACCTTAGTAATTGGGTTTCCCAAAGTATGAGATAGGTTAAGTGAAAGTATTATATATTGTAGAATACAATTCCTGGAAATAGTGGAACCAAACTATTGCCAAGTTCAGGAGGAACTTGAGATTCTAAGGTGCGTCAGTTCCTGCTACACTTTGGAATAAAATGATGCTATTTCAACAAAGGCTCTCAATAATGAATTTAATTAAGCCAAATTGATTTGCTAGCAGATCTTATTAGAAAGTTACCTTGTGTAGAGTGAAACATTGATTTTTTAGTCGAACAACGTTTGCTTAAAGTAGATGGTCTATGAATTTCTGTGATTGTTCTTCATTTCAGCATAGTATTCTTCTTATTTTTTTTACACCTACAAGGTAGAAATCAATATCCCAAAATTAATGATTTCTTTAAAAATCCAATTATGTTGGCCCTGCTATAATGTTAGAGGCCCATGGCTGTTATTATCTAAAAGTAATATGTTACATAATTGGAATGAGTATTTTAACTTCATTTCCCAACAAAAAAAATCTTCAAGAGTCCCATAGCTCCTCCATATTATAGATATTGTTTTGTCCAGATTTATATTGCATAGATAATATAGTAAGTGGGTTTATTTTTTGGTAGAACTAATTTATTTGATTTGAAATGATTCGTGTTATTATTTTTTTTGTTTTTTAAAGAAAAAAAATCTCGAATCTGGTGAATTACTAGTATGATACACCACCAAAGTTTGCTCATTAATCCTTAAGCCATTGTTTGTCTGTTTGCTCCAAATTAAATGCAGTCTTCCTTCTCTTGAATGTGAGAATTTGTTGCTAGGACTTAGAAATGTGCCCACACCTCAGCTAAGGAATGGTGGGAAACTGAGATGTCAAACTGTGTGATCCAAGCTCTGGAGTTGGACAACTGTGTTCCCTGTTTCATACCAGAGATAGTTTGTTCTATGGTTAGTCAAATGGTCTGGTGAAGTGAAATGCATATCACTTAAGTTTCAGTGTCTTCATCCTCAGGCTCATCTTTTTCCTAAAAATGGAAACGAGAGGACTGGACAATAAAGAGAGAAGTTTGTGATGTTCTGTCATTGGCTCTTTACTTCTGAATTAAATTTTCATTTGGAACAATGGGATTTTCTAACTAATATGTTTTAATGGAAAGAGCTTCCTTTATGACACAATTCTTATTTTAGAAAAAAAAATATATTTTTTTTAACAGGGTATCCAGAAGTTGGCTAGTCAGTACCTGAAGAGAGATTGGCCTGGAATAAAAGCTGATGATCGGAATGATTACAGGTAACTTAACTAAGTGGTTTTTTCTTGTTTTCTTTAAAAATGGTTTTACTCAGAGCCTTATTACATACAACTAACATAACAGTCTAATTTTTGAAATAATTGTTTCTTTGCTATGTTTTTACACACAATTTCAGAATTATAAATTTTTTTATTTTCATTTTTTACATTTTTAACATGTAGATACTCTGTATAAATTAGGTCATTTTCCTATGTCTTACACTGAGGTTGCATATAATTTCTTTAATATCCTTATATGAGATATAAAGAACCTAGATGGCAGTGGAACACAAATTTGTTTTCTTTCCGACCTATGATAAAACATATTATTGCAACAATAATGAGGCAGATTGTACTATACTGTCATGATCATAGATTGTTTATTTCTGAAGTAAATTCTGAATTTGGAAAGATGAGATTTTGTGGTACTAGGGGGAAAAATTTTCTAATATGTTTTAAGGGAAAGAGCTTCCTTTGTATAACACAATACTTATTTTAGAAATGTGTGTATGTGTATATAAACAGGATATCCAGAACATGGCTTGGTAATATCCTACATAATTAATAATAATATTAATTAATAATTTTAAAGAAGATCTGTTGTGATGGGATATAAATTGTCCTTAGTAACCTATCAATATTGAATGTGTAATTTTGTTTAGAATTCGATGTCTTTTGGGGGGTTAATTTGGTAGTATGTGTTGCCTTTTGTGCTCAAGGCTGTTCTTAATATTGGAGGACCCAGAAGTCAAAGATCTTAGAACTGGCTATATGGTTGAAATTAAGAAACAATAATAGAGAACCCATGGTAATGAAGAACTCAGTATTGAAGTGTATGGTTTAGAGTCTGAATATGAAATCAAGCTTTTGAATTGTCAGTAAAGACTGGCAACTATCAGAATTTCTGAAGTATGTGATAATGGGGCTAGAAAGCTCAAGCATATACAAGAAACCCTAATAGTTCCTCTCAGTGACTAACTTAAAAGGTAGCATGATAGCTTTAAATAATAGAATGGTATAATTCCAACTTAGAATATTAAAACAGAAAATAAAATTCTAGGCAAAAATGACAATTAGAACAAAATCTTGATGTGAGGCTGAGCATGCTTAGAATTACTGATATGAAGAATTCATCCTGACCCAGAAAAGGATTGCTTGTTAGGGAATAAAGGAGTCCAACTTACAGATAAGCTATATTCCAACTTAGTTTGAAATTCAGTATTCAAGTTACCAAAGAAATAGGGAGTTAAGGTGGTAACTCAGTGGTAGAACACTTTTCCTAGTATGTGTGAGGCCCTTGATTTGATCTCCAAACCACACCAACACATACACACACAAAAAGAAAAAAAAAGAGAGAGAGAAAAAAAGCTGCACTTAAGGCAAGCTTAAGCAAACATTTATTAAATATTCAGTATACATCAGACACTTCTAGGACCTTTCACTTGTGTCCCATGATTATTAAAATAACCTTGAGGCAGATTTAATTATCCTTGTTTTATACACTAGGACACTGGGTCTTGGGTTATATACCTTACTCAAGGTCTATTAAAACAGACTCTTTATACACTCATTCATTCATTCTTTTTTTTCTTTAATTCAAGATGTACATATGTAATACCTACTAATGTCAGCTACTAAAGGAGATTTCAGGATTAGAGACACTAAAAGATATGATGTTTGTCCTTTAAGAGCTTACAGGAGTTAGCCACTATAAATGGTTGTCCTATCAGGTCGCAGTAGTAGAGGTGTATTGAGACCATCAAGGAAAACTTAAGCTTGGATAGTTTAGTCTTGAGCTCTGGCAAGAGTTTACCAGTTTAGTAAATGAAATTCTAAGTAGAAGTAACATCTTTAAGGCATAGAATATGGGAAAATATGAATATTAGGTAGCAGTGAGCAGTTCAGTATGTGAAGTATACAGCTTGGAGGATAGACAGAGTGGTGGATATGGAGAACATCTAAGGTGGCATCATAAAGGACTTTGTGTATTATATTATGGAGTGTCTCTTTTTATTCAAAAGATAATGATGACATTGAAAAATTTCTACAACAGGAATGATTTGATCAACTTCCATTAATCACAGTATGAAGGTGGATTAGAGGGGTGTGTAAGGAATTCAGGGAGCATAGACTCAAAGGAATTTAATCCCTTCTCATCTCTTATTTAAACTATGGAAATAATAGTAAAAAATTAGAATGTGGGGGTATTTCAGAGATACTTTAGGAGACTAACGCTAGAGGACTTGCAGTTGATTTGGCAGTTTTGTTTTTTTAAGTTTGTTAAATTTGTTCTGGGACAAACTATAAACAGTTGTCTTTGTATCTAAAATAGCTCTTGGCATATAAAAGGCACTTGATAAATATTTGCTGACTGGCTGACTGAAAGAACTAAGAGGAGGGGAGGAAGGGATTGTACAATGACTCCCAGGTTTTTTAATTTAGGTATCTGGGTTCTGAAAAAAAAGACAATAGAAAGATCAGTACTGAGTGTGAGCATGGGAAGTGTGGTGTTCTTCATAGTTTTTGGGGGGATGTGGTGCTCTTCATAGTTTACATGGTTTTAGTCATTTTAAATTGTTGAATTTTTAAGTTTATATTTGTGTTGGCAGTTTAAAAATTCTTATCCAAGTTATTCATGCTTTTCGTTAAGGAGGTAAATAGTACAAAACAGTTGTGTGGCATCTCCTTTCCCAAGCCTCTCTATTCTCATTCCTACTCCATGGAGTTATTGCTATAAAAAGCCTATGGTATTTTCTTTCCCTTAATTTTTTTCTGTGTGATTTATTCATGAACATACACAGTTTTGCCCTTTTTGACAGAACTGGAATTATTGTGTGCATATGTTTCTGTAAACAGTGTTTCAGACACCCTTTCATAGCAGTACATTTTGGTGTCACGATATGGATGAGTTATAGTTTCGTATCCATTTCCCTATTTGGTAGTTATTTAGTTTATGACTATTACAAATAATGCTGCAGTGAATAATTTCCTTTTGCACATATCTTCATACACTGTGAAAGTATATTCTTAGGGTAAATTCTTAGGACATTTTAGGTGAAGGGTTTATATGTTCAAAATCTTGATTGTAGAAATTGTCCTGCATAAACTCTATCAATATATTTTACATTTCTTCTAATGCTATTTAAAAATCACCCAATTTATTTACTTACCAACAGTACATGTGATCAGTCTTTTATATTGTTTGCCAATCTGTTGATACATGTATTATTTAATGCCATGAAACCCCATTTTCCTGGAAACTAGACTTCTATAACACTAGTTTCTCTCCCCCTTGCTTTTTCCTTAAATGTTTGAGAAAATATTTTCAGACTTTTCTCTGTAAATGTTTCTAAAAGTTCCCTTAGCTTTCTAGTGACTCTTCTCAGTAATCTTATCTATATTCCTGGCTTTAACTATTGTCTATAAACTGACAATGATCATATACTTTTATTGACTTTCAGCTTAGAGAATAAAAAATCAACTGCCTGCAACTTGACCTTCTTTCTAGATCTCATCTTCTCCTATCTGGAATGCTAAGTAGCTGTTGCTCTGCTGGGATCTTTCCTTTTCACATTGGTGTTGTTGTTATTGTTTGTTTGTTTGCTACAAGGTAATAAACTCTCTTTGCCTTTTATCATAATTGTCTTTATGTGTTTGTAAAATTGGCCTCCTCCCACTCCCCTGGTTGAAAATCTTGTTTCTTTTTGCCAATAGGGTGAAATTTAAATTTCTTTTTGTGATTTTCAAATCCATGAAAAATCTGTCTCTCCTTATCTCTGGGCATTTCTTCTCCTTGATCCTCAGTTCTCCTACCTTTGGCAATAGTTTACAGGTATAAGTGGGTGAATGTATATGTATTTTACTAGTTATAACTTAATTATGGCAAGTATTGTTTTTCAGTTGTAAAAAGTGATATAAAAGTGTATTTTAGTTTAAAAGGTAAAGTCAGTTACAAAAAAGATGAGTAATTATGCAGAAGGTATGCACCAAAAATAGTGTAGGACATATGCAAAAGATTTCAGACACATAGATCTCAGTATAGCTTCATTGGAATGAAAAGGTCCTCTTTAATATTAGCCTTGTTACTAAGATTAAAGAGTCTTATGTCAGCAGAATAGTGAGGTTTGGGAGTCAGACAAATGTGGGTTTTAATCTAGGACCCTTCATTCCCTCCTCTCCTCCTCCAGTGACTGCAACACCATACCCATTTTAGGTGCTGAGAATATAAAGGTGACTTAAACAACCCTTCTGCCACCTGGAGCCTATGTTCTAGTGAGGGAAGACAGTAAACAAGTGAATAATTAAATACATATGTCAGTTGGTGATAAGGACATATGTTTAGTGAGGTGGATAGAGTGCCAGGGAGCTGTGGCTCTGCAGTCACTGCACTGTGTAGAACACTGGTGGTTAGGGGAGGGGGCGGAGGCAGAAATTGCTGCAGTAATCCATGCACAAAATGATGGTGACTTGAGTATGGTCACAGTGGAAGAGGTAAACTGTAATTAATTTCTATTATGTTTTGTGAGTCTAAGCAAACAAAATTTCTTGATAGAAGCAGATGTGCGATGAGAGAGAAAAGTGAAGAATCATTGACAATTCTGGGGATTGAGTTTGAGCAACTAAGTCTGAGTAGCTGTCAATGAGATGAAGTATATTGCTACAACAGAGTCTAGGGACATTAATAATTTGGTTTTGGACATGTTAGTTTTAAGATATAATAAATGTGGGTATGTTAATTAGGCAATTGAAGGTTAGGGAAGATGTGTGGGCAGGAATTAAAAGTTCAGGATAGGTTAGCATGGTGATAGTATGTAAAGCCATGAGCTAGATGAGCTCATCCAAGAGTCTGTGAGAAGACGAGAAGCTGGAGACTGACTCTGGAGCACTCCAGCATTATAGGGCCAGGAGATGAAGAAGAACCCCCAGAACATACCAACAATGACCAGTGAGTTGAAAGTAGACTAAGAGAGAAAAATGTCCTGGAACTCAAGCTTTTTTTTCCTCTTATTTGCATTTTAAGGAAATGAAAGTATAGTGAGGTGAGCTACATATGATTGTATTGGTTAAACTAAAAACTTGATTTCAGGTCTTCTGCCTAGTAACTGAATTCCATGCTTTTCATGGTACTGCATTGTTACAGATATGTTTACTTGCTATTAATCTGCTAATCTCTAGAGGTCTTTTTTTAAACTCCCTTTATGATGAAAGGATTTCTCTTGTTATTGTATAATCTTCATGATTCAGACATTCATCTCTTCATTCCTTTATTCATTCAACACATTATTATAATCATTTCATATTTACTGGGCCCTAGAAATACCATAGTCAGCAAAACATACACTTGGCCTTCATGGAGTTTTTACTTTAGTGAGAGGGAAGGACATTTTTTTTTTATTGGTTGTTCACAACATTACAAAGCTCTTGAGATATCATATTTCATACATTAGATTGAAGTGGGTTATGAACTCCCAATTTTACCCCAAATGCAGATTGCAGAATCACGTCAGTTACACATCCACAATTTTACATAATGCCCTATTAGTAATTGTTGTATTCTGCTACCTTTCCTATCCCCTACTATCCCCCCTCCCCTTCCCTTGAAAGGGAAGGACATTAACTGAACATTTACATAACAAATTTTTATAATTACAGGAAAAGTGCTTCTACCTATGAACACTTTGCTTTGAGTCTGGGGATTGGCCTGGTGGTGATTATGAAAGACTTCTCAGAGGAAAGTATAATTAAACTAAGATTTGAAGAGTGAATAGCAGTTACCCAAGTGAAAGGGTGAAGGGAAGAAGGTGCTCCCTCCCTTGCCAAGACCTCCCTTCCTCTGTTAGAATTCATAATGTTAGCTTTTCATTTTTATTTTGATTTTAAAATGCATTACACACACACACACACACACACACACACACACACACACTAGTTGTAGAAGGACACATACCTTTTGTTTGTTTATTTTTGTGTGGTCCTGAGGATCGAACCCAGTGCCTCACTCATGCTAGGCAAGCACTCTACCACTGAGCTATAGTCCCAGCCCTAAAAATGTATTTTTAAGTATAGATTAATAGTTGCTGAACTTTTCATAGTATTGAACTTTTCTTTCACTTCACTCTCTGGGAAAAATCATTTATTTGGACTGTTTAGGAGTTCACCTCATAAGTCATTTGCTGTGAAAGGCCAAGGAGGACACCAGTTTTGCTGTTGTTAAGTCAATTAGTGCTTTTATACTGATGTTTTGTTTTGTTTTGCTAATGCAACATAATGAGTTTTTCCAAAGGGATGGTGATATATCTGCCAAAATAAACAAATATTTTATTCTCTATTGATTTGGTGTATTGCATGGACAGATCCTTGGTTAAAAATTATAGTTTATCAAGTTTTTTTTTTTTTAAGTTCTAACTAATATAGGACCAGGCAACTTTTCTTTTTCTTTTTTTCCCACTGTCTTCTATTGACCCATAGCTAGCATTTTTTGTAGTATATGGTCCCACACATTGCTATAGTAGAAAATCCATTTGAACACTAGGAGGGAAATCTCAGGAGATAAATATTAAAATTACTAAAATTTCACTACACGTAGGTGTCACATTTTAAAATACAAAGTATCATCCATTGTTGTGGTGAGTTATAAGATACATTATGACTAATGGAGGAAAATAAGAGGATTAGCTAGGCATTTAACAAATTAGGAGAGAAGGTTTGAAAAGGAAATTGACTAGCAAAAGCAAAAGATGAACAATTTTTTGACTTTACCAAGAGATTGCTGAGCACATTTATCAAGCAAGGTGGTGGGACTTGCTTGGAATGACTTCAAAGCACAGTGTGATGCTGAGCACATTACAACAGAGACTGATGTAGAGCAACAATATCACAGATTCCTTTTGTTTGACAAAATGGACTTTCTCAAGCATATAAGCAGTTAGTTGTTCATGACATTTATTTTTTCTAGCCAAATGGGTTTATGTAAGACAGTATAGTTGAAAGAGAATGTAATTTAGAGGTAACCAATCTTCATCTTTATTTCTATACTGCCATGTTGTATGACCAAGAGTTACTCTGTAAATCTGAGTCTATAAAATAGAATACCATGATGAAGTAATAAAATCTGATATTCATAATGATGACCCTGTGACAGTGAAAGTCCTGAAAAGTCTATATTATTCACTATTTTTATAGTGTTGCTGTCTCAAATTGTAATCTTTTTATTCCTTTACTCCCCATTGCTGAATAATAGTGGGGTAGAGTATATGCCATATTTTTCTGTATGCTGAAATATTGCCTTGAAGCCAATATAAATAAACATTTATGGTTCTGAAGAAGATATTTATTCTGTCAGTGTTTGACAGTGAGCAAAAGATTAGATTTTCTTGCATTTTCCTGCCTAATGCTTCTCTATCCCTCTTTGAATTTAGGAGCATGTATCCTGTTTGGAAATCCTTTCTCGAGGGAACAATGCAGGTAGCCCAGTCTCGGATCAATATATGTGAAAATTATAAAAACTTCATTTCTGAGCCTGCCAGGACTGTGAGAAGTTTAAAGGAACAGCAACTAAAAAGGGTATGTTCCCACTTTTTTTGTGTCTTTTATGTATTTTAATACTTCACTGCTACATTTGCAGTCTGTAAAATTTTAAAATTGCTTTTAAAAATTTGAATGTTTTAAAAATATGGTCACAAATGTTTTTGGGTGGCATTTTACTAGAATTTCTCAACCATGTTTTATTAACTGATAAAGCTGAGTGTAATTTGAATTCATGGAAACTGGGAAAGTTCAGTAAATACTCCTTAGAAATATAACTCAAGTAAATACACCTGTATAGTTTCACAGTATTGGTACAGKTGGATGTATATTAAAATAATTGTTATTAAGTCCACTATATCTTGAGAACAGTTTGTATTAATTAGCCTCAGTTTCAACTTGTGCCATTTTGCATAATTAATCTTATTTTTAGAAGTCTAGTGTACTCTAAAGTTGAATTGTGTAGGATATACATAAGTAAAAAATTTTTTTCAAAAGGACCTATTTATTTGATTATCCAGAAATTTAAAATTCATAGGAAAATATCATTGTCTAATGTGATTGTTATAGTATGCTGTTGAAAGTATATGTTTGAATTGTGTCCTTTTTGGAAAGAGAGTAATAAAAATGGAGATTATCATGATACTTAATAAGTAATTAAAGTTTTTTTTAAGAAGGTCTTAAATCAACCTTTTTTTAAGTTATAGGTGGACAAAATATCTTTATTTTTATTTTTATGTGGTGCTGAGGATCGAACCCAATGCCTCATACATGGTAGGCAAGTACTGTACCTCTGAGCCACAACCCCAGTCCCAGTTATTGAAGTTTTTAAATAGAAGTATTAATACTTCAGAATATTAAAGCAATTATTTAAGGAAATAATATTTCAGAATCCATCCATTGTTCCAATTCTGATTGTCATTTGTAAAAATACTAATCTTCTTATTTGCCAAAGATGATTTCAGTTGCATAAAATAAGTGTTAAATGCATATGTGTGTTTATATATAAAATTTTAACCTCTTAAAAAAGAGCACTTTTTTCATAGTTCTTTTTTTAATTGATTTAAAAAATAAATAAATGACAGTGGAATGCATTACAATTCTTACTACACATATATACCACAATTTTTCATATCTCTGTTTGAATATAAAGTATTTGACACCTAATTTGTGTCTTCATACATGTACTTTGGATAATGATGTCTATCACATTCCACCATCCTTCTAATCCCCTGCCCTCTCCTTTTCCCTCCCATCCCTCTTCCCCATCTAGAATTCATCTATTCCTCCCATGTAGAGCACTTTTAACACATTTATATAAAAATGTTTTTGCTTATCTTTGCCCAAAATTATCTTGTTCAGTGTATACTATGTGATTAAACTATGTGACCACTCATCAATGATCTTAAGTTGAAATGAAATGTACATTTATTTATGTATATGTATCTGATTATGCAGAAAAAGGAGTAGAAGGGAAGAACAGAGAAATAATACAATTTTACTTGCTAACCAGGCAGAAATATTGTGGTTCAAGTTGCCATTGTATTTATCAAATCTAACTGAATTACTGAAAACTTCTACTTTTTCAAAATCTGAATCTTTTTTTTTCCCTGAGGGGTGTACATTTTATTGGAAACCTTAAATATTCTTCAAACAGAACATCATCTTCAATCAGGCTCTTATGTGGCCTACACAGAAAACTGTGGTTTTTAGGATTAAAGGCAAGGAGAGGGAAAATACACTGGATGAGTACTTAAATTTGGCAAGAGGATCTCTCAGGATGAATGCTCTTCAGCCAGTTTTATCAGCTTTTGCCACAGCTTCTTCAGTGGGTCCCAATTTTTATGTGGTGCTGAGCATCCAACCCAGGGCCTCGAACTTGCTAGGCGAGCGCTCTGCTGCTGAGCCACAAACCCAGCCCCCCAAATCTGAATATCTTGAAAAAAATTTAGCTACTTCTTTGCTTTTCCACTGGTGGATAGATTCAGACCTGAATTATACAGCATTCCTGGGCAAAAGAAAAAAAAAGTTTGAGATTTGACAACTAATTCTCTTATCTATGAATTAACTTGTATCATGATATAGATGATAATAATGGCATTTGTGTTTACAAGGCAGTTGTTGAATGTTATACAATAGGCATAACTATCATGAACCTGGGATTGCACATAACAAAACCTATTTCAAACTGGTTTAAGCCAAAATGAGATTGTATTATTTTATATATCTGAATACTGCGGGACTTATTCAGGCATTGGCAAATCCAAGGCGGGCTCAGATGATGGTAGTAGAACTCACTCTTTCTTTCCATTAGCTCTGCATTCTCCAATGGTTTCATCTTTTAGCAACTCCTTCCACTTGTTGGTCCCCAGAATGCCACATTTAGAAATCTTCTGGATAGCAATCCCAGATTTTCAATTTTTCCAAAAGTTGTAGTAAAACTAATAGAATTACTCTTCATATTGGCTACATCATTTTGCACTCCTACCAACAATGTATGACAAAGCTTCCAGTTTCTCCACAACCCTGCTGATACTTGTCTTTTTTTTTTTTTTTTTTAGTTGGACACAATACCTTTATTTTATTTTTTTAATGTGGTGCTGAGGATTGAACCCAGGGCCTCACATGTGCTAGGGGAGCGCTCTACTGCTGAGCCACAAATCCAGCACCCCCCCCCTTTTTTTTATCACCATCACAGTTGTGAGGTACTATTTCATTGATCATAATTTTGATAATGGTTAATGGTGTTGAGTGTTCTTATATTTTTATGATAAATTTTTCCTCTACTGTTAGCTTCCTAATTTTATAATACTATAATTCTTTTAGTAATTACCTTAGAGATTTCAATATGCTAATTTATTAGATTACCTTGATTTAGTAATTTTACTGTTCTCCAAACTTAGTCCCAAATTAACTTTCATAATCTACCTTCAATTAATATTTTACTACCTCATGAACAATACAAAAATCTCTAGCCCAGTGCAGTGGCACACACCTACAATCTCAGAGGCTTGGGAGGCTGAGGCAGGAGGATTGCAAGTTCAAAGCCAGTCTCGGCAACTTATCGAGGTGCTAAACAACTCAGCGAGACACTGTCTTTAAAATAAATACAAAAAGGGCTGGGGATGTGGCTTAGAGTTCAATCCTCGGTACCAAAAAAAAAAAAAAAAAAAAAATCAGCAGTGTTGTTCTTTTTATCTTCCTCTTATGACTTTTGTTTTGTTGGACCTTTTGACTCTGTACATATTTCTTTTATACTTTTTCTACTTTGTATTTCTACCCTTTTTTCTATATTTCTATTGGTCTATTTGGCTATTTATTAATTCTCGGTTCTTCTATTCCTAATATTTTAAAAACTTATCTTTTGGAATCTTAATGTATTTTTTCAGTTACAGAATTTTAATGTGACTTTTTGGAGGTTAGATTCCATTTTTCAGTTGTAATTCTCCCTGTTTTCCATGTGCTCCTAATCTGTTTCATAATTCCACTAAATGAATCACTATGTGTGTTTTTTTTTTTTTATTGTATGCTGATCTTCTTGGTTTTCATTATTTGGTCTATGGCTTTAGTGTGCCTCACCATGCTGAACATTGTGGATCAAACATGTGAAGGTTCTTGAAGATGTTATTTCCAAATATGGTAATATTTAGCAGGCAGATAGAATGCTAGTCCTTTGTCCTGTTAAGGTCTGGTTTTGGGGGTCTTTTTAGGGATGATCTATTTTACTTCTTTGGTCTTAACTGAAAGTATGGGATGCTTACTCCAAGACCTTTCTACTCTGACAAGACTTGAACTCTAGCTTTTCTTCTCAGCATCATACAGCAACTCTGATCTTCTGATCTCTGACCAGTCATTAGCTACTTTTATCTGCTGAATTTCTTGGCATTTCATTCTCCGTATACCTATTAGAAATCAACAGATGACTCAAGGGGAAATTACATGTAGTGTTTTGAACTTGCTCCTCTGTAATATCCTTCTTTCTAGATCTTTGCCTTACAAATTCCTGATGTTTTCATCATCCCCTGAACTACAGACTATCTCCACAGAATAGAGTAAGAATACTATTTTCTGTTTATATACTATTTCTGTGCCATGATTCAACAGATGTCCTAAAAGGAGGGTTGAGTGGAGAGTTATGTAGGTGTGGTCCTCTTCTAGGTCTCAATTCTGTAAGACCAGGGTATGCTTTGTCCAATTTTCACAGTTTCCAGACTATAGGAAGATAGGCTAATTCAAATTCTGTCACCATGAGAACCAGTTTCAACTTAATATTCTCCCTCTATAACATTAAAGTTCATGTTCTTTTTATAATGTTCTTTATTTTGGCAGTTTTCTTTTGTAATATTTGGGGATAAACAGACACATTATAATTATGAAGGACTTAAGATTATAATGAAAATTACAATTAGAATAATACCAAAACCTTTTCTGGATCATTTTTTAAAAATATTTATTTTTAGGTGTAGTTGGACACAATTGCTTTTATTTTATTTATTTTTATGTGGTACTGAGGATCGAAACTAGGGCCTTGCATGTGCTAGGTGAGTGCTCTACCACTGAGTTACAACCCCAGCCCCTTCTGGATCATTTTTTATATGTGAATATTTGCTTTTAAATCAGAACAAGATCCACAGTAACATAAGGCTTTTTGCCATTCTTCTGTTTACTTAGTAGTGCCTATGTCCATATTTTTCTCATTTGTACTAGAGTTTATCTACCCTCCTTGAAATAACTGTGATTTGGGGGTTTGGGTTTTAGCTCAGTGGTACAGCACATCATTAGTATCTACAAATCTCTGCTTGGCCCCCAGTGCCACAAAAATAAAAGGAAGAATTGTGACTCATATTTGTCTAATAATTTAGAATTTGTAAACTGCCACCATATCCATTATAGTGTTATCATATTTAAAGAGATTTAGATTTGAACCCAGAATTTCAAAAAATAAATAAGTAAAAATAAACAAAAAACTGTTGAAATTTAATATTTAAACAATTTTACAGAAAAATACATATAACTCCTTTACCTTAGTAGACTACTTAAGCTCTTAATCATTTTATCTTCTTAGAACTTAGAAAAAGGAGACTGTTGATTATGAAGAAACAGCAGAATTGGTTTATTCTTTTTTTCTTTATTGCCATGATATCTGCAACAGGAAGCCTTTTTATGATTGCTCTTCTTATGCCTTACCTTAATGTCAGTCATGATTGTTAGGCAAACTCTGACACTATTTGATACAGTACTTGAGATGGAAGTACCAGCTGTGCATGGAATTCTAATTTGCAATTTGAAAGTCATTAAAAGTGCTGATTTTTCTCTTGGGTTTCTATCCTGAAGGAATAATGCATGGTCCTTCGGACAAACTCATTTCTGTCAGCCTGAAAACTAAAAATTGTAATAATTGCACTTTTGTATTTTACAGTGTGTGGACCAGTTGACAAAGATCCAAACTGAATTACAAGAGACAGTGAAAGATTTAGCTAAAGGCAAAAAGAAGTACTTTGAGACTGAGCAGATGGCTCATGCAGTGCGAGAGAAAGCTGACATTGAGGCAAAGTATGTATTTTAATATTTCTGAGAAAATTATTATGCAGTTAAATGTTATTTTTGCTAATTAATACTTTGTTCTCTATTTATATGGCATATAGATTTGTTCTTAGGTTGTGTTGGTTTCATTTGTTCTACATATGTTATGTACTTTAGGTCCCATTTTCATTTTATATCGACTGGTTTTTATCTGTTAAAGTGGCAAAGTAGGAATCTCTGACCTTTAAATTGAATATTTAAACAAGATAAATGAACATTGTACTTACAGACTTGAAAACTTATGGAGAGTCTAGTAAAAGCCATGATGATATCTGAAAGTAGGGTTTAAGAGCCTCATTTTATCATGCTAGACTCTAAAATTCAGTTATAGTTGAAATCCGTATGATATCTCAAGGTGTCATTGAAGGAACAATGGCACATCAAGTGACCAAGAGCACTGACCTCCTTTTAAAACCCTATACCAAGCACTGTTTTTTATTGTACATATAATTCTCATATTTCTCCTTTTTAAAGTATGCTTTAACAATTTTGTCAATATTACTTTCAATATATGTGAATTATAGTCCTTTATTTTGAGACTTTTTTTTTTAAATTTTATTTTTATGTGGTGCTGAGGATTGAACCCAGTGCCTCATGCACACTAGGCAATTGGTCTACCTTAGAGCCACAATCCTAGCCTGAGCCTATTAAGGAAAGGAAGGAACTGGCAATTGGTAATAGGAGATACCATTCAAGCGATAGAGATTTTTGCAATGACACTTTGAGGAAGTGTGATAAATATTGGTGGGGGGGTGGGAAACCTGTGTTATAGAACTGAATTTAGGAGGCTTGTGATCAGGAGAGCTAAGACTTCTGTTCACAGTGCTGATTGTTGCAAAATCTAGGAGTCTAAACTCCTAGGCATGAAATCAGAAAGGTTTGGACAATTGTACAAATAGTCCAGCAAGGAGGGGGTTACCTCTAACATGTTGTTTTGTTGTCATTGTTGAGACAGGGTCTCTCTGAGTTGCCCAGGCTGGGATCAAACTATTTATCCTCCCAACTCAGATTCCTGAGTAGCTATTATTTATAGGTGTGTGCTAACACACCTAGCTTCCTAAAATGGCTTTTATCTGCAAGAAATTTAAGCAACTTCATCAGCATCTTGGGAAAATTCAGGGGTTCCTGGGAAGTTTATTTAGTATGATGGGTTGATGAATGAATACTCACTGAATACTTGATATTACAGTGTAACATTTAATATTTTTCTGATTTAAGTTTATTGTTTTTATTTTATTTTTTGAGCATTCAAATATTTCCCATGCATTCATGGAGTCACCAAATCCATCTTTCCAATAAGATCTGGAGGTTAGCAGATCTCAGTTGGGATTATTGTGCCATTCTGGCTTTTAGGAACTTGTCTTTTAAACTCTCTGGGATTCTAGAACAGAGAAGTGACAGATTTGTAGAGTATCTACAAATGCCTAATTTAGCCATGGGTGGACTGTTCCTGAGAAGTGTGTATTTGACTAGGTCTATTTCACGGAACTGATCACGAGGAACTGCCTTCTCATGTGGCCAAATTCAAAGTGAGACATTTTACTTCAGTGTATAACTTCTCTGGAAAATTAATTCAACTACAGAGTAAAAAAATGGTTCTATGTCTTAATTCAGTTAATATTTATTTAGTCATTATATTGGGCACTATGGGTCACAGATAAGTTAGGTGCGCTTTTGTGCCTTCGAGGAATTTAGAGCGTATAATTTAAAAAAGTAACTTTATCATTTGTCTATTCATAGTAAACTCAAAGAAATTACCTACCTAAAGACACTCACCTAGTCACTAATTGCTTAGAGTAGTAATATGAAAACACTGTTATGAAAGCATAGAAAATGGAGAGATTACTATTGCCTGTTGATAAAGGAACCTTTATAGAAGAAGTGATGCTTGGGCAGATTCTTGGAAGAAGAATGAGTATGTTTTTTTCTAAGCAGAGGTAGGAAAATCAGGAAGGGGACTAAGCACTGAAGTAAATATAGTTTTGATGCTATGATAGGCCCATTAGGAGAGACTACAGGAGGAAGAGGGTTAGTCTGAAGGAGATGGTAAGTTCCATTTTGGATATGTAAATTCTGAAGAGCCTGGGAGACACTGACATGGATATATTTGGGAGGTGATCAAATATCTGTTCTTATGTGAGAATTTGGCACTGAGAATTGAATTCTGAAGGTTATAGGATGTCCATCAATTATAGGGATGCAGTCATATATACAATGAGATATGAATTTGAATTTGGAGACCCAAGGAACATTAACATTTGAAGGATAGATGGTAAAGACTAGTACACAGTATAGTTTCTTATTTGTATAGTATGTGATTTTTTAAAATCCTTATTTTTTTTTAAATTGTCATCTTCAAGGACATTTTATTCTATTGTTAATACCTACCTAAATACCATACAAGAAGTGTATGCAGATTAGCAAATGAAGCAGACGCCATAAATTTAAATCTATAATTTATGTTGGACAATCCATGTGCAAGTCAGCCTACTTGGATAATGACTATTAAAAAAGGAGAAATGACAGTGCTTCAAGCACAGTCTTTCTTACCCTGACAGGTACTTTCAAATCTTAATATAGGTAATCTTAGCTTTCCTACATCAAAATGAATAGAAATATGATTAATAAAAACAAAAAATTCCCATAAAACAGGAATACAATTAGGCAGGAAATAACAGAAATATCTTAGGCCCCATTTTTTTTTTAAAAGCAGTGGGGAGGAGTTAGGAAACTGTATGTTCATCCCTGAATATTTTCTCTCTTGTTAGAAATGCAAGAGGCAACTTTTGCTGTTCTCTTCACAGTGTCTGTACGTAGACTGGCTGCTTCACCTTCTAGTCCCAAATGGTCTGCAACTCTGCTTCATACTAAGAGGCATAGCTGCCAGTGCGTGCATTGAACTCTCCCATGGCAATCACCATGACACTGCAGTTAAGACAAACATTTCAGCTTCAAAAAAATCATGGCTGTGGGAGTGTTGCTTGTTCCTTAGCATCTGTTTGTTGACTTTGTCTATATACTTATCTCTAGCCTTTAAGTAAAAGCAGCATACTACTGCTGACTGACAGTTATGGTTCCCCTCCAAAACTTAGGCATCAAGGGAGATAGGTAAGAACACCAGAGTGGGAGAAGATTAAATGGAACAAAAGTTTACAGGACAGAGTCTTAAGGAACAAAAGTTTACAGGACAAAGTCTTAAGTTCAGATTAGCTTTAGGAGGGAGGGGGCACACAGGCAGGCAAGAACCCAAACACAAATCATTTTTAATGAGGGGAGTAACAAAAGAAGGACTTTCTAGAGCCTATAGATTGCGTTCTGGTGTTGTACCACCTGACACACATAGCTCTGAGAGCCTTGGTCTCCCCAGGTTGGTTGCCCTGGGGTTTCTCTGACCTTTTGTAAAAGAACTGAAGTGTGTGGAATTATATGATACTAGGAATAACATATAGTTTGATGACTCTTTTTTATTAGAATATACTAATATATTTTGATTTTTTCTTGGTCAAATTGTATTTTTAAGGGTATTTTAAGTATGTTAATCCCAGTATTTTTTATTTTCCTATAATATTAAATATATATAATATATAAATAAAGGCAAATAAGCATCACTTTTGACTTTTCATTTGTAAATTCACTTTAGAACAGTGTCTTGGAAAAGGGTTATTATTTTTTTAGTAATTATAACATTTAGTAATCTTATTATGATATAATTTTATTAAACATTCTTTTCTATTTTTATATAGGTCTAAACTTAGTCTTTTTCAATCAAGAATCAGTTTACAGAAAGCAAGTGTAAAGGTGAGTTTTTGAAAGGTGTATTTCACAATTGAGAAATTTTACCTTATATTTTAAAAGTTTGGGTCTTTTGAGAATGGAAGTGGGGTTTTTCTACTTTATAGAAGCATTTCAAAGTCATTAACCCAGTGAGGAACTTTCCTTCCCAGTGATGGGATTTTTCACCCAGGTGTGGACACTGGACATAGCTTGCTTCCCAAGACTGCTTGAGGGGTAGGTTTGGATGCGTTACAACTCACGTAGTCTGTATATTTAACTCTTAGTCCAAGAGACAAAGTGCAGGGGCTTTCAGAAGCGCTGTAGAATCATTTCACTCAGACTTAGACCTCTGACCAGGTCTTCTGGGCTGGTGTAAGAGTTTTTCTGAGGGACCCTCAAACTGAAGTATCTGTCAAGTAAGCTTAGAGACCAGAGTTTGTTGCCAGGCTCCCCACCAACAGGAAGTTCTTCTGACACATTTGGATTGTTGATTTTTAAAATACTAGTATCTAAAACCTCCAGATTTACCCATGTCTTCAAAAATAAGGAACCTTTATTTAGAACTGTTATTTTCCATCTCAATAAACTCAAAAAAATATTTTTCAGTTCTGTATAAAACTTTGGAATTATGTTAAGTATAAATAACAAAGGTTTAAAAATGTTCTCCCCATGTTGTCAGGTACTATTTCATTTCTTAATAGTGAAGTATAATTTTTATATACATGTAAATGTTTTCTCCACATTGTTATTTTTACTCTTGGTGGGGAGCCATTAATTGCTGTTTTTCCATGCAGTATCAGTTTGCACTGATTTTTTTCCTTTTATTATTATGTTTTAGTTAAAAGCCCGGCGATCTGAGTGTAATTCCAAAGCTACCCACGCAAGGAATGATTATCTTCTTACACTAGCAGCAGCAAATGCACATCAGGATCGCTACTATCAAACAGATTTAGTTAACATTATGAAGGTAATACAGTTTTAATATCTGTGATAATTTTGTTTCATTAAAAACAAACAACCTATGAGCTGGGTGTTGTGTACATAGGATTGAATATAGAATACTAACAAGGCTACTTTCTATTTCATTAGAATGTGCTCAATATTGGTGACTGACCTTTGTTTTCAAGTAATTTGGAATTAATTTTTAATGTTTAAAGCCAATTCACAGTAAAGGGTTGCATTATTCCTTAGACATAGAAGATATTTGCTAAATAGTGATTATTGATATATAAAAGATAAGATTGATATATAAAGTGTGACATAATTCTTAAGCTGGGAAACTGCTTCTGAGCTATTTCCTGAGACTCAGGTCTTTAGACTCAGTAAAATATTGAAGCTAGATAGAATCTTCAAGTACCTTCTGAATTATCAGAGAAAGGCTGGTATTTCAGCATAGTTTTATTTTTTGTTAGGTTGTACTGTTATTTGTTATTTTCTGCAAAATAATTTTTTAAAAACAAGGTTTTACAAAAAAGTATATAGTATGAAAATATTTTTATAAAAAGGTGTGTTTTATATTTTTATAGTGTATTGCTTAAGAAAGTCTGAATTACTTATTAACCAGAATTTTGGCTATTTTTTGTTTTAAAAAAAAACTTGGATTTTTTCCAAGTGCTATGATTTTATCTTTAGTAGGTGAAATTATGCATTAATATTTGATGATTTTTGAGTTGAACAAACAAAAAATGCTGGTGGTTATATGAAGATGTCTTCTACTCTGGGCTTTACTCTGAAATACTGAAGATTGGATTACTATTTGATATCCTGGTCTTTCCTCATCAAAGGATATGTATTTATTTATTTTGTATTTATTTTGAACTTTCACAGAAGTAAAGGAAAGGGGGAAGGGGAGTAGAAGAAAAACATTTTAACCCACTGCCTCTACTTGCAGGCAGACAGACTCCGCTTTGGATTGCATCTCCTTCTTTCCTGTTTTCTTAAGAACCCAAACATTGGATTATTCTACCTTTCTCTCATATTTTCAACACACCACTCTGAAATGTATAGTTCTTAATGACTCTTCAACACATGTATTGCTATAGTTAAATTGCTTGTTTTAGGAAATCAACAATTAAAAATGGGGTTACAACTGGCGCAGGCAGTCTTTTTACTACAGAGGCTCTAGGAAAAGAGATCACCTTTATCCAGAAATTACAAGTTCCTTGTTTGAAAGTAAAGATGGAACATTTCGTGAGACCTCTAGCAAAAGGCAGGAATGTTGGAGGATGTCAAACTGGACTAAGAAGTAACTTATTGCAAAATTTCTTCTTTCCGGGCCTGAGGTTGTAGTTCAGTGGTAGAGTGCTTGCCAAACACTTGTGAGGCACTGGGTTCGATAAAAATAAATAAACAAAATAAAGGTATTGTATCCATCTCAAACAAACAAACAAAAAAAATTTTTTTTAAATTTCTTCTTTCCTTTTTGTTTATTGCCTGAAATCCCCTTTACTGCCATTTGTCCTGTTGCAACTTCTGCTGGTTAGAACATAGGTTAGAATAATGAGACAGGAAATTATTTTATATCCAGATGAGAACTCTATGTGCCTTTCCCCAAAGAGTATTGGACATAGAGGTTAAATGTTTTAGCATCTTATTAGGTGTTTCATAGTGCTTCAGACTTATCTGAGAATTGGCCTCTCATTCATTCTAGCATGACTGCTTTAGGAACATGTATTGTTTCAAACAATACATTTACTGAAGATGATTTTTTGCACAGCATTTGATTCCCTATATCCTGTATATGTCTACCATTAGATCAAAGCTGATAATCTACAAATTAAGTATCCCTTATCTGAAATGCTTGGGACCAGAAGTGTTTCAGATTTTAGATTTTTGGATTAGAGATGCTCAGTCTGTATAACGATTTTTTTGTCCCTGTGAATATTTATTTTTAGAGCAGCAAGGGCTATATTCAAAGCACAAAATGGGCCCCTGTTACATTTTTCTTCTGTCAATTTCTACTTTCCATTTCTGTGGAAAAAAATGGACAAGATATCTCCAACTGCTTCTTTCTGAGAGAGGAAGAAGTGGGTGGGGAGTGACCTGAAATCTTTATTCTCTGTCAGGTGGGACATGGACAGTTAAGGGTATTCTGCATCAGGGTAGTCCAGAGGTCCGTGGTTGCCATTGGTGGGTAACTGGACAAGGTATACATAGGGTAGGATCATGCTAGGATAATAGTAAACAAGATAGCAAAGCATTACTTTTTTGTAAACAATTAGCACAAAAGCAGTTAGTATTTCTGCCAATCTCTGAAAACCATGAAGATAGTAACTCATTAAACCTTAAGGTGTATTGAGGTGTCTTACACCCAGACAAAGCAGGTTCCTGCTCAGGAGATGTGAGCCACCTGGGAAAATAAAATGTCTGAAGTAATCAGTAAGAAATACAGAGCTAAAGGTTAGAGTTTAAAAAGTGGAGCGTCTGATGGGTCTTCTAGTCTTGATAGGAGCTGGAACTGGACAACTGAAAAAGGGGAATACATCAAGGGCAGGGATAAGGTTTTAATGGGAGGAGTCTTATTTGGTGCTTCCTTCTTGGTGTGGTAGGTCTTGCAGTAAACAGGTTGATTGGTATTTGACAATCTGCACCTATCTTCCAGAGGCTGTCTGGCTCCAGGAAGTCACTCCCCTCTCCAGAGCTGAGTTAGAACTTGAGCAGTAGCATAGGCAGGGGGCCATGTAATCAAGCATTCTCAAACCAGTGTATTCCTACTGGGAGTTCCTGATACCAGGCTTCCCTGCCTAATGGCTCCACCACTGCTCAGTTTACCCATGGCTCATGGATGGCTCTTGGCAAAGGTGGGATGTAACGTTCCATTGATTTGTAAGTGGAGGCCGTTTAAGGCTTTAGAAACGTTAGCAGAGTTGTTAGAAACATAGACAGCATTTAGTTGCTAAACTCTGTCACATTTAATATGCTTAATGCCAGTTTTTATTTTTCATCTAAAAGAAGCCAATACTTTTTAAATGATAGAAACAGTACAAATTTCAAACCAAGATGTAGTTACCCTTTTGAAACACCAGAAAAAGGTTCTGGCTTTCAGATATATACATTGTCAATTCTATTGTAGCATTTCCTTACTTACAATATTCTTAACTGTTATTCTCCAGGGCTCAGACCGCATTTTCTCTTAACACATTTGCTTATGACATGACCAATTCTGTATCCTTAGCCTCCTTACTTGTTTCATTAACCTCTGCGTCTTCACTCTTTTCTTGTACCAGTTGGAGTCTGTGTGTTTTCTTCAATGTTTGAGAAAGCTTCACCTTGAACTGTGAATTTCTCAGCAGCTGCTAAATGTGCTCACCGAGGTCAAACTTCAATCTTGGCTTTCCCAAAAACTATATAGGTATCTGGATCTGGACTCTTACAGACATCTGGTTTTGTGATGACAAAGAGGATATTCTTAGATATTTTTGGATAGTCATTCTAATAACCCAGCCTATCAAAGACCCAGTTTGGACATAGATTTCTGTGCCTTCTTTTCACTTTCTGTTTTGTTTTACTGACTGATTCTTCATCGATAGCATTTAGTTTTTATAATGGCACAGGTGTCCCCTACCATGAATATTTTAAAATGAGCTAATATTAGCTTAAACAGCGGCAAAACTAAAATCTTAGTCTGAGGGTAGTTTCAGTGATAAGAGTGTGTACCAAGAATGTAGAAAGCCCTGGGTTGAATCCTAGCACCACTTAAGCAAACAAACAACCCATTTTGTTTTGTGGTATAGGGAATCAAACCCATGGTCCCATGCATGCTAGGTAAGTGCTTTACTACTGAGCTATATCTCTAACCCAAATCCTATGTTTTCAAAATTGAATCTACACCAAAAGAAGATGTCCTTCAATAAACCAGGAAAAAATACCTTATTTGGGGGACCTGTGCTGTGCCAAAAACAAAGAGAAAGTTAATGAACCTGACCAATTGTCAGATTATTAGGTGTTCTTGAACTTCCTTTGAAGTCTCCATGCTTGTTTTTAATCAGCATTAGGTAGATTATGCTTCTAATTTTTCGTTTCATGAAACGTTTTAGAGTATTGATTTAATATAGAGGCAGAAGATCCTTAAAAATGTAGTGTGACTAACTTATTTCTTCCTCAGGCTAATTCTGTGGATCTGCAGTATTGGGAAACTCCCATCCATCACTCTATTGGCTTCCATCACTGAATTGACCACAGTTTTGGGGTACCTTATTTAGAAATGCTTATTGTTCTGAGTAGATGTTAAGGTGATAATGCCCTAGTTAGAATCTTTTTTAAAATTATATGGACAGTTTAGAAGCAGAGGATTTTGTATTGAAGACTTAACTACAAGAGTTTTTTCTATTGCAAAGCTGATCTTTGGTCTTGGCTTTGGAACATATTCCATCTCTTTCTGCCCTCTTAGGCACCAAAACAATTGATTATTCTATTTTCTCCATATAGTTCTTAAATTCTGCTGCTATATTGACAATTGTTGGGATCTTGGTGATGATACCTCATCATGTCTGTCTTGGAGTTACACGCCACTAGTTACCCTCTATCTGATGCTAGTAAGTTGTCCTGAGATCTACTTTTGCTGTCTCCTTTCTGGATCTTCAGCTTTTTGTATCATACGTCTTCTTTTTTCTTAGTACCTTCTTGAGAAAGGTATAGAAAGTAAGGTTTTTTGAGGTGCTGTATCTCTGAAAATGTCATTATTCTGTGCTTATAGTTGGGTATACAGTTAAAGGTTGAAAACTGTTTTTGCAAATGTCAGAATCCATAATCCATTGTTTTCCTGTTTCCTATATGGCTTCAGAACTCAGAGCCATCCTGGTTCTTGGATTCTTGTATCCGATTTCATTTTTTGCTTTTCGTTTTTAGAATTTATGGACTATTCTTAGTATACCCTTGGATTTCTTGGATTACTTCTTCCTTTTGTTTTTCTCTTTCTGGAACTCCTTCTATTAATATGTTGAGTCTCCTGGTCTGGTTTTTAAAATT